TGAAATGAACAATTTTCTAGGCAGATACCAGGTACCAAAGTTAAATCAGGATCAGATAAACCATCTAAACAGTCCCACAACCCCTAAAGAAATAGAAGCAGTCATTAAAAGTCTCCCAACCAAGATAGTCCAGGATCAGATGTGTTTAGTGCAGAATTCTATCAGACTTTTAAAGAAGACCTAATACCAATACTCTTCAAACTATTCCACAAAATAGAAACAGAAGGAACACTACCCAATTCGTTCTATAAAGCCACAATTATGCTCAAACCTAAACCACACAAAGACCCAACAAAGAAAGAAAACTTCAGACCAATTTCACTTATGAATATCGATGCAAAAATACTCAATAAAATTCTTGCAAACTGAATCCAAGAACACATCAAAACAATCATCCATCATGATCAAGTAGGCTTTATCCCAGGAATGCAGAGATGGTTCAATATATGGAAATCCATCAATGTAATCCACTATATAAACAAACTTAAAGAAAAAAAACACATAATCATTTCATTAGATGCTGAGAAAGTGGTTGACAAAATTCAACATCCTTTCATAATAAAAGTCTTGGAAAGATCAGGAATTCAAGGCCCATACATAAATATAGTAAAATCAATATACAGCAAACCAGTAGCCAATATCAAACTAAATGGAGAGAAACTTGAAGCAAACCCACTAAAATCAGGGACTAGACAAGGCTGCCCACTCTCTCCCTACATATTCAATATAGTACTGGAAGTCCTAGCCAGAGCAATTAGACAACAAAAGGAGATCAAAGGGACAGAAACTGGAAAGGAAGAAGTCAAAATTTCACTATTTGCAGATGCTATGATAGCATACTTAAGTGATCCCAAAACTTACACCAGAGAACTCCTAAACCTGATAAACAACTTCAGCAAAGTGGCTGAATATGAAATTAACTCAAACAAATCAAAGCCTTCCTCTACTCAAAGGACAAACAGACTGAGAAAGAAATTAGGGAAACAATATCCTTCACAATAGTCACAAATAATATAAAATACCTTGGTATGACTCTAACCAAGCAAGTGAAAGATCTGTATGACAAGAACTTCAAGTCTCTGAAGAAAGAAATCGAAGAAGATCTCAGAAAATGGAAAGATCTCCCAATGTTCGTGGATTGGCAGGATTAATATAGTAAAAATGGCCAGAGCAGAGAGAGCTGCCGGTGCCCCTTGGTGTTGCTGGAGGAGGGACACAGAGGACGGCCAAGGAAAGGATACAGGGCAACAGTCATTCACAGCCCCGACACAGGCAGTAATGGAGCTGGGGACAGGAGCCAGAGCAGCTTTTCAGTTTGGCCAAAGGTTAATCTGAGGTGCAAAGACTGGCAGCAGCAGGTAGGATCTGGATTCATAGAGACCTGTTTTGCAGAAGTCAGACAGAAAGGGACTTAAACCTGGAGGAAGGAAAGCTTTGCATGGGTTTGTTTTGTTTTGTTTTGTTTTGTTTTGTTTTGTTTTGTTTTGTTTGCTTGTTTGTTTGTTGCTTTGCTTTGGTTTAGGTTTTTGGTTTAGGGCACAACAGGAGAGAGATTGCTCAAAGACCTGAAATTTAAGAATCTCTCTCTCTCTCTCTCTCTCTCTCTCTCTCTCTCTCTCTCTCTCTGTGTGTGTGTGTGTGTGTGTTCTCTGTGTGTGTGTGTTCTCTGTGTGCCCCTCCATGTGTGTGTGTCCATGCCTGTCTCTGTCTTTGTGTGTCTATGTCTGTCTGTGCCTGTCCCTCTCTCTGCTTGTCTCTCTCCCTCCACCTCTCTCCTCCCTCGCCCATGTGTGTGCCCACCCATGTGTGCGTGCATGTGTGTGTGCCTGTCTCTGTCTCTCTGTGTGTATTTTTCTGTGGGTATGTCTCTCTGTGTCTGTCTCTGTCTCTGTCTCTCTCCCCCTGCCCCTTTCATCCTCCCTCCCTCCCTCTGTCCTCCCATACCACTGCTATGGACACAGGCTGCACAGGGTAGTCCCTACCTGATGGAAGGAAAGCCTGGTTCACAGCCTCAGCCTCTGGTCCCATTCTCACATGGCAGAAAACCGCCTTACAGCCTCTGTGGGTTCCCAGGGACAGACAGCATCAACTGCTCTCATGGAAGTCTCTGTCACACTGATTTTTAATCATGTACATAAAGCTATTCAAGAAGCCATGCACTGGGGGCCTTGGGAGACAGGAGAGTCACTTGAGTCCAGGAGTTCAAGGCCAGTCTGAGCAACATACGCAACACTCCAAACACACTTGCTTTTGATTTTGAAGTAAACAAAATGATAAGCAGAATGGTGTTCCGAAGCCCATCAGCCTCAGCCCTTCCCAGAGTCCTGGGCCTGACACTGCATGGCCTGACCAAGCAAGACTAACACGTCTACTCAGAAAAACGAGTGAGTGTTCTCAACCCACTAATATCCAGAATCACACTTAACATTTTTTATGTGTATTACATTGCGGGTGTGCGTATGTGGATACACATGCCACAATGCACATGTGAAATGTTCAGACAACAAATTGCCCAAGTAGATACTTTCCTTCTGTCATGTGAGTCCTGGGAATCAAAGGCCATCAGACCTGAGGACAAACACTTTTACCCATTGAGCCATCTCTGCAGTTCACACCTTGCAACTCTGGCTTTAATTGCATGTGCCCCTGAGCCGGTGCAGCATGTATATTTGCCCAGCTAGCCAGACAGCATTCTTTCCTTCTCTGTTCACAGGAGCTTGGCTTTTATGTCTCATCCCAGGTACGAAGCACAACCAATCTAAGCCACTCCCTCTGCAAACATCTGCTTGGGGGGTGGGGGGCTCTATGACAACTTCTCAGGAAGCTATCACAGGAAGAGGGCCCTGTGAGTTGAAGATGTCCCTGCATTGCCATCACACATGGCTTCTCCCTGCTGTGCCATCTAGAGTTCAGTTGACCCTGCTCTACCTGTGATGCGGTGAGCAGGCAGCACAAAGACAAAGCCTGAGGCTTTGAGCCACCAAGCCAGCCTCCCGCTGCTTCTCACCTGTGTCTGTGTGAAACAAAGCCCCTGGCTTGTTGAATTTCTTATTGCTTGCAGTCCAAAAATTATCAATTGATGTACTAAGGAATTCCATTCACTCTTTTATTCATTCAAAGACGCACTGAGAGCTATGAAGTGGAGCTAGTTAGGAAACGAGAATTCTACTGCTAAGAATTTGTCCCATTTCCTTGGGAAAAAATGCAGACAAAGATATATACATATAAAACGTGGAGTGGGTGAGGGGTGTACATGTATTGGGGGATATAGGGGATGGGGGTGTATGGGTTTTGGGGGGCTGTGGGGTGGGGGGTATAAAAGGGTATCAATGTCCAACATGAGATGACTGGTCAAATAAACCAGCCATTGCATGGCAGTCTAGTAAAGATTTATGTGTGACACCGGAAACAATCTTAGAGTAAATCTGACCATCTTGGAAGCAGTATCCTGATTTGTTTGGTGTATAATAAGGGGGAAGAATCAGAAACCATGTCCAAGTTCTATCCTCAGCTGAGCTGTCCAGTGGGAAGACACCTTGAGTATAACCAACAAAAACCCAAGCAGGAGATAGCAGCACACACAAATGTAATGCCAGGTCTGGCAGAAGACAAAAGAGGAAAATGGGAAGGCTTTTTAGAGTGTATGGTGACTGGTGGGCAGCAGGCTGGGGACAAGTACAAACCTGATGACCTGAGTTCAATCCCCAGAACCCACATAGTGGAAAGACAGAAACAATTCCTCAAAGTTGTCATTTGAAAGCTACATGCACACTGTGCACAAATAACTTACACACCCACACACACATACACACACACACACATACACACACACACACACACACACACATTATTATTATTATTATTAACGTTTAAAAGAAAAAAATATTTTTACCTTGTTATTCGCCAAACAAGTGTGGCAGGATTTTCCCTGTCCGATTACATTAAAATATTAGTGCAGCTGGAGGCCTGTGATTGGTCAGGGAAAAGTTGGAGAGAGAGTGGGCCTCTCAGGAGAGAGGGAGGAGCAAGATGGAGGACGGACAGGAAGAAGATCCTGATCCCACGTAGTTTTAAATAGTCATAGGTAGTTATAAATATCATATAAGGATAGAATAATTGGGCTAACTTGTCTGACCTAGGTGGGCAGCTTGTACCATTATCAAGTGGCCTTGAAATGATTGTGTGGGTATCTTGTGAATTGAGAATTTATTGATATATAAATCTGACTGGTTAATTATAAGCTTCAAGAGTTTTGATTTTACCAAGTTACTGGGTATTGTGATGTCTAACCATGAGGTGAGCGGGCATTGCATGGGGCTGGCGTGGCAGCGACCCTGGCAAGGGAAATTAGCTAGTCAGGTGGAGACATCTTGGGAGCCCTGAGCCAGAGAGTGAGATGAGATGAGAACACCCCATTAGAGGGTTACTGGAATGTGGGACCGCCAACCACAGGGGGGTTATGGCTGAGAGGGTACAGATGGCACTGAGGCAGCAAATGAGCTGGAAAGACCGTGACTGGTCGCTGCATGGGGCTAGCTGTGGAGGCAGTGAAGTTGACAGGTAAAGAGTAGCAAAATGAAGCCCAAGAACATGACGGTTCTTTTTTAATATTTCCTGCAACAAACAAGTCTGGATATATTACTTCCAAGATGACGAAACTCATCCAAGACTGCCTACAGTTTTTTGTTTTATATTTATTTATTTTTTATCTTATATACATTGGTGATTTGACTGCATGTATGTTTGTGGGGGAAGTGGGGTGTCAGGTCTCCTGTAACAAGTGTCACAGACAGTTGTGAGCTGTCATGTGTGTGCTGGGAATTGAACCCAGGTCTTCTAGAAGAGCAGCCAGTGCTCTTAACCACTGAACCGTCTCTCCAGCCCCAACTGCCGAAGGTTTTACATGTAACTTTTACTACTTCTCCAGGCAATGGCTAGTTTATTTAACTAGTCCTCTTATGTTGGTCATTAATACTCTTCCTTATATATGTTACATTTTAAAAAAGAATGTGCTAACTTTCTTTAGTCCGTAGGTTTCACAATGCCAAAGCCATGCACAGGTAGACTCACTAGGTCTCCTGCTACAGTGACCCCCTACACAGTACAGACAAGAGGGTCCATGCCAGCATTTTATTGGGAAAGAAAAGCGCCCAGCACCAAGGCAGTTCCATGTGCTGTAAGTAGCAGTAGAAACAAGGAGAAGGCCTGATACTCCAGGGAGTGTCACGAGCCCCAGGATGTCACCCATCCTGGCTTCCAGAAGCTTCCTGGAGCTCCAGGCATATCAGGTCAGCTAGGGTGCTTGAGCCTCTGCAAATAGAAGAAATTTCAGGTCACAGCTGTGCCGTGCTGGCTCCAGCTACCCAGCTGTTTCCCTTCTACCCTGGGGAGCTTCCATGTGCATCACTCTTGAAAGCTTTGAATGGTTCCAGGCCTCCTAACTGGTTCTGAAGACTCTTGTCATTTAGAAGCTAGCCGCACATCTGTTACCAAATTGGGACAGTTCTGATCTGTTTTCTTGCCCTGCCCCCAGCCCTCATGGCCTGAACAAATCAGATTTATCCAAATCATCCTCACTATCTGATCTAGGACCTGGATCAAATCCCTTCTCTCCCAGAAAGACCTCCCCACTGAGAGCCACACCCACTGTAAACACTGTAATCCCACAGTGTCCATTTGAGGGCGTGCTCTGTGACTCAGGATCACTCTAACAACATTCTTTATGGCCTTTAGTATCTACGCCTTCCGACACAGCAGTGAAGCCTGTTAACTTCATACCTGCTCAAAGGTCATTATGGGCAATACTCACCTAATTTAGAATTAGAACCATCAGTCAGATTGGAGCCTGTGGGCTGTTGGAGGGGCTGGAGTCCTGGGATGCAGAAGCGGCCACAGCCTGACTTACAGCACCTTTCCCCGGGTTGACAGTTCTCATCCATCATGCAGTGGACAATACACAGGCCTACCAGAATTCTAGGACATTGACCATCCCGCCCTGTGGTGGATACCAGGACAGGGAGAGACACAGAGTTGGCTCCTCTCTTCTCAAGTTCCCACCTACAACTTAGATGCAGAAAGCAGGTAAAGCATCCCTGACTCCCAAATAGATGTGGCTGGAAGCAGGGAAGCTGGAGAGATGAGACCCTACACATCAAACACCTCTGACCTAGGCGTTACCAAACTCCTGAAGCCAGTTCCTTACAGGTTGGCAGAATGCAGGCTTCTCAACAGAGCCAAGAGCAGAGAGACAAGGTCCTGCTTTCTTCCCTATGATTGAATTCCATTGGCTCATTTGCCACCTGCATTGTGCTACCATAATCCTGTATAAGTTTTAGTTCCTGTGTGTGTGTGTGTGTGTATGTGGTTTATGTGGTATAGTGTGTATGTGTGTGTGTTGTATATATGGTATGTGTATGTGTGTTGGATAGTATGTATGTGTGGTATATGTGTAATGTGTATGTGGTGTTTATGTGTGTATGTGAGTAGTATGTATTATATGTATAGGGTGCGTGTGGTGCATGCATGTGTGTGTGTGTGTCTGTGTGTGTGTGCTTGTCATGGAATCATTTCTTAGTGGTACAAGAATGGCTCAGACTCGGGAGAAACAGTCCCTTGATGTGTCAGTCCCCTCTTTCCAAGATCAGCAATATACAGTACGATTCATTCAGTGTTGGACAACAGCAGCCACAACTCCCAGTCAGCCATAGGTCTGCCATGGCAAACCACTGACACTCCACAGTGGGCTGCATGTGTCGCAAAGCTAGCAGATTTAAGGAAGTGGGTGGACAGTTGTGCTGGCTAGTTTTATGTCAACTTGACACAAGCTAGAGTCATTTGAAAGGAGGGAACCTTAATTGAGAAACTGTCTCCTATAAGATCCAGCTGTAGGACATTTTCTTAATTAGTAATTGATGAGGGAGGGCCCAGCTTATTCTTGGTGGTGCTATCCCTGGGCTGGTGGTCCTGGATTCTATAAGAAAGCAGGCTGAGTGAGGGATGGCAGTGTATGCCTTAATCCCAAAATCCTAGAGGCAGAGACAGCAGATATTTGTGAGAGGCCAGCCTGGTCTACAGAGCAAGTTCCAGGACAGCCAGGGCTGTTGCACTGAAAAACCTGTCTCAAAAATCAAACAAACAAACAAAAAAGAGGAAGAGGAGGACGAGTGGAGAAGCCATGGGGAGCGAGCCAGTAAGAAACACCCCGCCATGGCCTCTGTATCAGCTCAAGCCAGGTTCCTGCCTTATTGGGTTCCTGCCCTGACTTCCTTCAGGAATGGCCTACAGTGTAGAAGTGTGAGCCAAGGAAACCCTTTCCTCCCCCATTTGTTTTTGGCCATGGTGTTTCATCACAGCAATACCTGCCTAGGACTTAAAGTATTAAAGGTACTTTCAGCTTACAAGACTTGCCATTTACAGTGGATTTATCAGGTGGGACCCTGTTATAATTAAGATGCATTGGTAATTCCTTGTTTCTCTTCCCTAACAGTCTACATGCATGTAAGGACAAAGGTTCAGTGTTGCATGGGTTTGTAAACAGACTAGGGGGCTGGAAACACAGCTCAGCTGGTGGAGTGTTTGCCCAACATCTATGAAGCCCTGGGTTCAGCCCCCAGGAGTGCATGAACTGGGAGTGGTGCTACATGCCTGGGACCCTGCACTCAACAAGTAGAAGTAGGAAGACCAGAAGTTCAAAGTCATCTTGAGCTGCATAGGAAGTTCAGTTAGCCCAACTATGTGAGACTCTGTGCGCCTCCCCAAAAAAAGACTAGGGGGGTGGTGGTCTGGGGAGGAAGATGGAAAAGGAGAGGGAAAGTGTGTGTGTGTGTGTGTGTGTGTGTGTGCGCGCACGCGTGTGTGTAAGACATCTGAAGCCAAGAATAGTTATGTTAGGCCTGTAGAGCCATCACTAAGTCAAGACTATGAGTAAACCAGCCTGGGCTATATAACAAGACCCTACATCAAAACAAACGAAGATCTGAGAAACCAGTGATCCTGGGCAACTTCTTTACTGGACAGAGGGAAGCGGCTCAGCGAGCTGGGATTATTACCCCCAGTCATAAAGCACACCCACAGCAGAGCTCAGACCAGAAGCTGCAGCACCGTACCTCCCTCCACTAGCTCTTTTCACGCCAATGCCGACCCGTTGACCCTAGAAGGAAGGTCTGCGTTCAGTTGGAAACTAGGGAATGATAAAGATGGCGGCTGGCTCTCACAGGACGGTGTCCCGAGGAAGCTCCTCCAAACTGACCTGGGATCCAGAGGGCACTTTTAACTCTTCTCCCAAAGAACCAACATACCTCCCTCAATGTCTCCTCGGCATGCATGGCCGCACCCGGTGCTGCAGCATTTGTGCCCCGGGGGACAGGATTCATCCCCAGCACACAGCTCCTGACACGGAAGAGGGTCAGCAGGACATTCACCTCTTAATGCTGCCATAGAACGAAAGCATTAAAACTCAGATGTGCTTAAGCCAAGAACATAAAACCCATTTTTCAGTGGCTGTTAATATAGATTAATATGCAATACATGTTAATATTCCACATTCATTCTGTTTCTTCTGGCCATGAACTGCTGCTCCCCTGGTTAGTGTGCGAACTGCTCCCCTGGTCTTGGTGTGTGCATCCGCTCTAACCACTGTAGCAAACATATGAATTACACACCGTATTTCACTCTCCTTTCTTTCGCACTGTGACAGACAGACAGTATTTGTTCCCATCCAACAATATCTCCTGGGATTTGTGTCCTGGTGAAGTTCCTTTCCACACTGACCTGGGCTTCATCCTATTAGTTAGACTGTAGTGTACTGAGATGCCACTTGGGCAGGGGACATGGAAGGAGAAATAACATCTGAGGGAGCTGGAGAAAGGCTCAGTTTGTAAAATGCTTGCCATGTTTTACTGACAATGATCCCCAGTGTCCATGCAAAGGGCTGGGTGTGGTGGCTCCAGAAGTGTCATGGTGGAGACAAGCAGACACCTAGAGCTCAGTGGCCAGTCAGCCTAGCCTGATCAGTAAGCCCCAAGTCCCAGTGAGAGACCCTGACTCAGAAAACACAAGGTGGACAGCTCCTGAAGAAAGATGTTCCAGGTCAACTTCAGGGCTCCACATGTGTGTGCACACACATACCAACATGCAGAAATACACATGTTAATAAACTAATTAAAATAAATAAAAAAAGAACCACCAACCCAGACATTCCCAGCTCTCCTGAGCTCCCAGCTGCCTGCATGGATGTCCACAGCTATGGTACGTCAGGAGATAAACTCTCCAGGAGAGACTGGGCCACCCGCAGCTGCGGTGAGGAATGGACCATTGCCTTAGGCCACTATATCTGGGACAGTTTGCTAGACTAGAAATGAGATTCCTTCATAATGCCCCAGCCCAGATGATTCGCATCCTCCATCTCGCCCGTAACTAGAGCAACAGCAAGCTAATGCTAATGGGAGAGCTTGGGTACTCGAGATACAGACTCACTTCACATCTTTCTTCCAAAGACACTAGTGCTGTGCAGATGCAAGGTGGCCTTTGAAGTAGGAAGCCACTAGCATGAGGACAAAGTCAGGGACTGGCATGGTGAGAAAGAAATGTTTCCTTCTTGATAGTACCTTTCAGTAGCCATGACAGCTTTGACACCCACCTCAGAATTCTTGTAAAGTTAGGACAGTGAGTTGCTCTTGTGTTAATATTCTGTTGTCCACAGGCAAACAGATTCTAGATGTGCTTCTTCGTTACTGCTGTGTCAATGACAAAACCCAGGGAAGAGAAAGGGGCCCACCCAGAACTACAGAGCTAGCTAGCAGCTAAGCAGAATTATATTCTAATACGCCATCCTTAAAACACGCATGCAACTTGGCCTTAGGAACAGGCACGCCCAAAGAAGACTGTATCTGAGCCAAACTCACACACCATGACTCATTTCCGTGTTTATTTCCAGTTCTTTAAATATGGAGAGAGGTGACGAGCAATAAAAAGTTACATAGAAAATCAAACCATGTCTCTGTCCCAGAGCCTCAAAGGCAACAGGCTTGCATGATTGCACTCAATCATGGTAGAAAAGGCACAGGTTGGGCCCCAAAGATGAACCACAATAGTCCTGTGTCCTGGGATTCTCCTGAACAGGCATATTGTGTTATGATGTCACTCCAAAACCATGTGCCCTAGGTTTTTTAATTTGGAATATGTGGTCACAAGAACTACTGTCTACTTGAAAAACACTACAATACACTTGGCAAAAAAATAAAATTTTTTATTAAAGGCAGTGGTGGTGCACGCCTTTAATTCCAGCACTTGGAAGGCAGAGGCAGGCGGATTTTTGAGTATGAGAGTTCGAGGCTAGCCTGGTCTACAGAGTGAGTTCCAGGACAGCCAGGACTATACAGAGAAACCCTGTCTCAAAAAAAAAAAAAAAGATTTTATAGTTGAGAGAGCTGGATATGAAAACCACCCAGAGAGTTGAACAATGAGCCTAAAAAGAGGGCCATGGTACTTACCAGGTGTCACCATTTTAATGAGTCTGGTGGGATGAAGGCCAGGGGCCTCTGTTCCTCTGCTCTCCTCACCAAAACAATAGTGCCTCTGCTCTCTCCCAGCCCAGCTTCCAGAGTTTTGCCGAATTTTAGAAACAAGGATTGGAGCCCTTGCGAGGCAGGCTAGGGCCGAGGGTCAGGGCACAGCCCTTTGTCCATCACTCACACTGCCTTCCTTTCAGACTCAGACCCATGTCAAATAATTCCTGTCAGCTCAAACACTGGGACGTGATGGGACGTCACAGCCTCTAAGACTGTGCATGCCACCCCCGTTCTTTTTTATTTTATGTATTTTATGTTCATTTGTGTTTTGCCTGCATGTATATGTCTGTGTACAGGTGTCAGAGCCCTGGAAATACAGTTACAGACAAGTGTGAGTTGCCATGTGGGTGCTGGGAATTGAACCCGGAACCTCTGAAGAGCAGTGCTCTTAACTGCTGAGCCATCTCTCATTTTTAAGCTAGACAGTGTTTGTAGTCCCTCATATTCTCCTGAAACAAGGTTCTTCCTTAAAAGTTCTAACTGCCTACCCTTGTCCTGCTCCCAAGAACCTTGTAAAAACATGGTCCCTGCAATGCCTTTGGATAGGATGCCCTGCCCTCAATGTCTTGGTTCTGCTAGTCTAGGTGAACTCAGCCATTACAAAACATTCATCTCAGTAAGCTCATGACTAATCACATTGCCAGGGATCAAGACAAGAAACAGGACTGGGGATGACCACCTCCACCCTCTATCTGCACTCCCCCAACACCCCACCTACCACCAAAAACCAGGGAAGCTGCAGTCAGGATGCCTGACTTCCCTCCGGCATCAGCTCCAGTTCCTCTGCCCTCCATCCCCTCTGTCAAAGAGCACCACTGCCCCATGGCTCAGGCTAGACACTTCTCGGCATCCTTGACGCCCCTCTCCCTCAGTGTCCACAGCCATTTACTTCTGAAGCTGGTCCTTTAAGTTTCTACCTCTGCACTGTGACCGACCTCCTTGACCTATCTCTCACCTAGTCTGACATGATGGCCGCTCACCTGGTCTTCGGTCGCTTACACTCACTGTCAGCCATTCTTCCCACACCAGAACAACAAATTTTTTCAGAGTAAAAATTAGAATAGGCTTCTCCCACATTTAGACTTGCCTCAGTGACTTTTTTGGTGGGGGTGGGCTTTTTGAGACAAGGTCTCATTTTCCCAGACGACCTAGAATCACCATGGAGTTGAGAATGGCTTTGAACTCTTGATCCTCCTGCTTCTGCCTTCCCAGTGCTAGGATTACACTTCCACCACACCTGGCTTGGTTACTTCTTTTATATGTGCTTTAAAACGTGTGCTTATTGTGTGTGAGCGTTCTATGTGACTGTGGGTGCATGAATACCACAGTGTGCCTGTCTGCTCAGAGGACAACCTCTGGAAGTCAGTCCTCCTCTTCCACCACAAGGTTAACTCCGACCCTCAGGTTTGTGTGGCAAGCCCTTTACCCAACAAGCCATCTCACTGGCTCTAATGTTTCCTTCTGCACTAAGAATAAAATCTGGGAAAGAAGCTGAAAGCTGCCCCAAATCTGAGGCCTGCCACCTCCTCCACCTCAGCTGAAACACCCTCTTGTCTCCAATCACTTCCTTAGGAACACAGATCTCCCTCCCTCATAGCCTCTGCCTTTGCAGCTCCCTCTTCACAACACTCCACCAAAGGTGTAGACCTTGCTCACCATAGATACCCACATGCCAGGTAGGGCTGAATCTCCATACACAGGGTAAGTGAATGAATGATTGACAGGTAAGTAGGTGGGTCAAATGCAAATGAGTAGAGCAGGAAACAGACCAGAACAGTGCTGGGCTGTAGGGAGGTCCTGAGCATTACCTGGCGGATTTAATGCAAGCTCTTCAAACACATTTCTTCCAAACTACATCATCATTCTATGAAGATGACAAAGAGGAGATTCAAAGAGATGAACACACTTGCCCAGGCCCACAGAGCAAACAGACAAAGGATTCACCACAGGCTCATGTTCAGACTAGAACTTATCCTTGAGGATACATTCCAGTGTCTCCCTGTGCCCCAGGTAACCTGATTGACACGCCACCTTCCTGGGGATCAGTCTCATTAATGCAACCCTTCTCTACAACAGGAGCTGCATACGCTGAAGCAGTAAATACTAACTTCACCAACTGGTAGAGTCCTGCCCAGCCTGCAGGCTCTGAGGGATCTGAAAACTTCTTCCAGTCTAGCTGCCTAGCTCCAAGGGAAAAGGAAGTCCCATCTCTAATGGCCAAAGGCCAGAGTAGCTCATAAGGGCACCACACCTGGGAACCAGCCATGCCCTCGATCCCCACAATTCATATTTCAGCTTCAGACTCTGAGAAGGTTGTAGGAGGCCCCCTGCAAGCTAACAATGAGTGACTTGCTCACAACATTTCCAGATTTGGTCCCGGGACTGGGCTCTGAGAGTCCTGGAAAGACTACAGTGTTCTAGACTCTCTTATATGGGCAGTCTGTCCAGGAAAGCTAAGGCAGATACAGATCAGCCCACTGGGTACTTACTGGATAAAAGCTTGCTATCGGGGAGGCATGGTAGAAAGGAAAGATGACACATGCGGTAGAGTTTCAGGGTCTCAGAGATGGGGTGCTCAGCAGGGTGGGGAGGGCGGACTATCCTGGTTCTGAACTTAAAGGACTGGTTAGAAATTGTATTTGTGGGAGAGCTGTAATATTACGTGTGTCTATAACTACAGCATCTGGAAAGCTGAGGCAGGGGGACTAAAAATTCAAAGCAACTACATGTTACATAGAAAGACTATCTTAGAAGATGAGGACAGGAAGGGAATGAGGTGGAGGAGGAAGAAGAGGAGGAGGAGAAGGAGGAAGTAGAAGAGGAGGAAGTGGAGGAGGAGGAAGAGGAGGAGGAAAGAAATTATAGCCCTGACCCAGTAGTCTTCCTCGGAGCCAAAAGAAAGGGACCTGCTGCATACTGAAGGACAAACACAAGCCCTCTCCAGGCTCTCTCCATCTTACAGAGAAAGAAACAGAGAAGCACAGGAGATCTTGCCCAGGGATCCGCTCGTCTCAGACAACCCAAATCTACGCTTCAACTCTAACACACTGCCAGGCGCTCTCAGGTTAGAGACTGGCTCCAGGTCCTACACACAACAGAATATTATTCAGGAGACAGAGGCAGGGAAGTCACAAGCTCTAGGCCAGCCTGGGAAAAACAGTGAGCATCTGTTTCCAAAAGGAGAAAAGGACAAAAAGAAAGAAGAAGAAAAGCCAGGTATGGTGGCGCATGACGGTAATCCCAAGACTCGGGAGGTAGAGGCAGGAAGATCAGGGGTTCAAGGCCAACACTGACTATAAAGAGAATTGTTTGCCAGCCTGGGCTACCTGAAACTCTGTCTCAGAAAGAAAAAGAAGTAACAAATGATCTCATTTCAAAACTCAGGGAAGAAAATTAATCACCCAAGAATAAATGTATCAAGAAATGTTTTAAATCTATAAAACACCTTAAAGTCTACGACCTGAGCAACAGGCAGACATATAAAGTTAAATACATTTGGGTTAGTTCTCCAAAAGCCAGTGTATATATCTAGCATCACTCCCAGAAAAGTAGTATGGAGAACCAAGAGAGGCAGGAAATGTGGACATAAAGGAGAAGTATGAACAAGCAAGAGTAGCCACGAAAATTCTAAGAGCAGGAAAATCAGCAAGGGCTCCACAAAGACAACACCAACAACTTTTTTTTTTCAATAGTGTTTCTCCATGTAGCTCTGGCTGTCTTAGAACTCACTTTGTAGACGAGGCTGTAATTCACAGAGATCCACTCACCTCTGCCACCACCACCCGGCAACATCACCAGCTTCTAAAACCTTAGTGTCTGATTTGTGGTAAGAGAAACATGGTCCAAAACAGAGAGCTTTCTCCATCCCCACGGCCACCTCCCTAGTGTCAACGGTCTCTGTCTTTCACCAGCCTTGTCCTCTCGCCTCCCTAACTTCGAATACGTCTCGTCCTCTGAAGACATCTACACAGGGTTCTCTCTCTTTGATATTTAGCCACACCCTCCTCCCAACTAGCTTTAACTTCTTCTCCCAGTTTTAGCTTAAATGTCACAATTTTGGACATACTCTACTTAACCATCCAACACAGTATGAAAACCCATTATCCTCTAAGCACCCTTAATGGTCTTGTGATATCCTTATCATAATTTGAAATCGTGTATTTATTTGCACGCTTTGTCCAGCACAATGTACCCAGAACTCATCACTGGATGTAGCAAATAATAAACATACAATAGATGTTTGTGGAAAAAAGATAAATGTTATTATAGGATTAATTAGGTCATGATGACCCTGTATGAGGACGAAGAGATCTCTTTCCAGAGCCTAACATTGCCAGAATAAAAGAAAATTTACCTCATCTATTAACAAGAAACTGCCCTGCATGTGTGCAGAGAGAGGAAAGTCTCCGAAGCAGATGAAGGAGGGAATGAGTGCTGTCTTTTGCAGACATCAACGTTCTATTCTGCCTCGTTGCAGGTTCTTGGGGTAGATTTTAATCGAAAATCTCTCAAATGACCAAGGGGATTGGAATTAGTCAGCAACCTCCTAATCCACCTCCACATAAGGATGTGTGGCACTGGCTCTTGGCATCCTGCTCTGCTTGGCTGGGACTAACCCAACAAATGATTATGACTTGGGTGTTCTGTACATCTTTGTTCAGTTCTCAGAATATAGTTGGCATTTATATTGTTTCTCAAAGCAAACTAAAATCAATCATCAGGGAATGGTTAGTGCTTTGGCACCAGATAGTGTGCATATGTTTGACAAAGGAGCAAATTCATCTGCTCGTGGAGTATGAGGAGGTTTTGTTTGAAGACAAGACCACAGGTCTCCTGCTGCAACAGAAGTGCAGCACTTCTTTGCACTGGTCATGCCTCATCTGGGGTGCACGGTCTCTGAACAACTTTGGGACTGTCTCTGTTCCTCTCTGGTTCAAGGAGCTGGAGAGATGGCTCAGCGGGTTAACAGAATTTATTGTTCCTACAGAGGGCCAGGGTTCAGTCCCCAAACTATCTGTAACTCCAGTTCCAGAGGAATCTGACACCCTCCTGTGGGTTATGAGGGTACCACATACCTGTGGTGCATATAAACTTCAACAAGCACACACACAGAGACGAAGAAAAATAATAAACCTGTTTAGAGGCATGAGTTAGGGAGATAGTTGAGTCAGTAACATGCATTCTGAACAAGCGTGAAGAACTGAGTTTGAGGCCCTGAGTTTCAATCTCTGGCACCCACATTTAAAAAAAAAAAAAGCCAGGTGGTAGTGGCCCACCAGCCTTTAATCCCAGCACTTGAGAAACAGGGGCAAGTGGATCTCTGAGTTTGAGGCCAGCCTGGTCTACAGGATGAGTTCCAGTACAACCATAGCTACACGGAGAAACTGTCTCGAAAAAAAAAAGTTTATTTAAAAACAAAAAAACAAAAACAGAAATTTGGGAGGCAGAGGCAGGCAGATTCCTGAGTTCGAGGCCAGCCTGGTCTACAGAGTGAGTTCCAGGACAGCCAGGGCTACATAGAGAAACCCTGTCTCAAAAAAAAAAAAAACAAAAAAAGCAGAAACAAAAACAAAAAAACAAAAAAACAAAAAACAAAGCAGACCAGTGAGATGAAGCTGCTTACCAAAAGCCTGAAGACCTGAATTTGATCCTCAAGTCTTGCTTAAAGGAAGGAACCAATTCCCAGTTGCCATCTAAACTACAAATGCACACCCTAGCTGGTGCACACACACTAAATAAGTAAGTAAATAAATTTTACTTTTTTAATCTATTTTTAAAAATTAATTTTATGCCAGGCGGTGGTGGCGGACGCCTTTAATCCCAGCACTTGGGAGGCAGAGGCAGGTGGATTTCTGAGTTCGAGGCTAGCCTGGTCTACAGAGTGAGTTCCAGGACAGCCAGGGCTATACAGAGAAACCCTCTCTCGAAAATCCAAAAAAAAAAAAATTAATTTTTTTAAAGGTTCAGGGTAAAGAAGTTGAGATAAGTTACCTTCAAAATGAGCTGTTGAGAGGGACCACCTAGGACCACGGAGGCCATGATCAGCCTTTGGGCCGTGGGAGAGGAAGAGGATTAGGGGGACAATTTAAAGTGACAGACAAGACAGCTGTGGTGAACATGTGGGAGGTGGGGGAAGGGAGGGCTCCTCAGAGAATTCTCTTAGCTTTATAACGTTCACAGGGAGCCTGGCCATAGCTCAAGGCCTGTTTCAGGGTAGGCATCAGAATTGTTTACAGAGTCAAGGAAGAACACTGGTTTACTAGTCCTTGCTATATCAGAAGGAGGCAGAGACCAGAGCCCCAGGAAAAATGGGGCCGGGTTTCTGAGAATGAGAAAGGCAGCTAGAGGCTCTGTGAACTAACACCTAAAATCCCAGTACTTGGAAAGGGGAGGCAGGAGGACTTCGGGTTCAAGACTATCCTGGGCTACAAAGCAAGGCCCTGAAGGGGGCTGGGGTGGGGGGGAAGCAAGGTACACACCTGCAATCCCAGGACTCAGGATGCAAAAGCAGGAAGTCAGGATAGACTCACGGTGAGGTCCTGAGGCGTATCACTAACTCCTCAGGAGCATCACTGTGGGAGATGGACATGCACCATGGCATCCATCTAGTGCTCAGAAGACAGTTCTCTCTCCTTTCACTTTTGCGTGGGTTCTGGGGGTGGAGCCCAGGTCTTCAGGTTTTTTAATCAGGTAGGCAAGCACCTTCACCTGCTGAGCGTCTCTCCTCCCCACCTTCCTAGACTTCACTACACTACTCAAATCCAAACCAAAACACCGGTCATCAATGGCACTTTCTGTCCCAATAGGAGAAGACAAAGAGCAGGGGTAAGGAATGGTTAGAGACCTCAAAGGGGGAAAGAGGTGACCTACATAGCCAGGTGTCTGAAGACAATCTAGCAGGTGAGAAACTCTCTGGTTCTATCCATCCAAGAGACAGGGCCAGGGAACACACTGGGATCCTTCCCATCCTGACAACATACCCTTAGGGAGGTCTGCTTAGCAGCCCTTACCACAGCCTGTACACTTCTGCCCAGCAGGACACGACCTATTGCTCTGACACAAATGTTCTGCATGGGTTCTGATCAGTAGGACACTGTCCTTCCTTAACTGAAAAAGATTTCATAGAAGTTCAGATAATTGGCTAGGCCTCAAGAAATGGGGATTGGCAGCTGAAGAAATGACTCAGCTGTTAACATAAAAATACTTGATGTTCTTCCAGAGGACACAAGTGTGGTGCCCAGCATCAATCTCTGGCACCTCACAACCATCTGTCCCCCCAGCTCAAGGGACCCTACTCCCTCTTCTGGCCTCTGCGGGCACCCATACACACACTATAAACATTGGGAGAAACATACACATAAACAAATCTTTTAAAAAAAATAATTAGGTAATGAGAGTCAACTGTACCTCAAGGAACTCAGTATCTCCATGCATCCCTATGTAGAATATCTGTGCAACCTCCATATCTTCTTGCCACACAGATACTAACACCCTACTACTGCTACTAAAGACAATAAACCATTAGTGCTGCAGAGGAAGTCAGACAGACAGACAGACAGGCAAACAGGCAGGCAGACAGAGCTAGGGGGCCTGTTGCATGGTCCTGTTGTCATTTCATGAGCCCTAGAAAATAACTAGAACATAAACCCTTGTAAGTCCTAGCTCCTTGTTGCAGACAGGGTAACAAGACAAAAACAAGACAACTGCTCCCTCACTCTGCAGACAATCTTTCCATGCACTGCTTCCTACAGAGACGATCAGCTCCACAAATGAGGAACTTTGGGAAGGAAATGTCCTCTCCCCTGGTTAACTTTCTATTCATTTTAGCCAAGGACCCCAAATGATAGCTCACCGTGGTCTCCTGCAGCTACCCAAGATGCCAGGAACCCAAGAGCAACAAGTGCCTTCGTGAGGAAGAGGTATCTTAACATCCTGCTGATTATGAGAGCTCAGTTCAGGGAAGAGGTAGCAGCAGAAGGAAGGACTAGATGGCTCCTGTCCATCTAATCCCAACCGTTTCACTTAAGCAATTATCCCCTAAGAACAGTTTCTCCTAACAATGAGAACAGTGATTGGCTGCTAGTGTGTGGGAAATTTCCTGGCACTACCAAAGAGCACATGTGATGGGAGGGACCAAATACTGCCATGCAATATACCTAACACTCTCAGTCAAGTGATGAGGGCCCATGGGACTCTAGAAAAAAATAAGAAAAAAAAAAAAAAAAGGAGAGATAGCCTCTGGGTTAAAGGTCAAAGAGAGACCAGAAGGGCTTTGGAAGGATTCAGTTGCAGTCAAAACGACAGAGGGTAAACCAGAGCAGCGGTTCTTGCTGGGTTCACACGTGGATTCTGAGGGAGAGGACCAGAGGTAAGAAAAATAAACAGTCCAAAGCTGGGGGTGTGGGGGTTTCGAGGGGGCAAGGGCTGGCGACTCAAGCCAGCAAGGTTATTATCACAGCTCTTTACATGGCCTTGGATGGAGAGGCAGAATACAAGTCAGCAGGTTACAGGGATTACAGCAGAATTACAGGGAGGTCTAGCTCCCTTTTCCAAGGTGTGTTCTGGTGCAGTAAGCAAAGCATCTCATATCTCAGGGTCTGGAACATTTAACCACAGCTTACTTGGAAACCTGGCCTCGGCCCCCCAGAGCCCTGGCACCAGTCCATGGCTGGCTTTGCCAAGAATGACCCTGACAGAGAACAAAAGCTCAGTGTTCCTTGTTCCGTCCATGGGATGGAGAAGGGCCTCTGTACCTAGTCCTTGACAAAGGGAAGAACTGGAAAGACAACCTAAGAAGAAAATAGTCGAGCTAATGGTATAACTTAAGCATGACATCCTGTCCATCTGTGAGAACTATAAAAACCCATGGAAAAGCAGCATTGGAGTGTTTCAGCATCAATACAAGAGCACAAAAAGTTTCCAGCTTGGTCCCTGTAGACCACACATTCCACTCTTAGACAAAATGAAGGGTAGTCGTCAAAATTAGAGAGGACAGCTGCTATGACTTGATCTTTCATGTCTCCTTTGTCACCTTTTGGCCTGCTTCTTTTTGTGTAGCACATGTCCTCGGTTGGCTGTGCCACTGACACTGCTGAGCCCAATAAGGTTAAAGGCAGAGGATAGGTAAACAAACAAACAAAAAACCAAAAAAATCCTATCTTCATATATCCAAAGCCAGGCATAGTAGTGATTCCAGTCTTTGGGAGGCAGAGAGAGACAGGTAAATTACAAAGTCAGCTTGAGCCAAAGTTCAAAGCCAGCCTAGAGCTACAGAGGAGGATCTTGTCAAGGGGGGGAACCACCATTGATTAAAGCAAGGAAGTACTCTTGTTAAAAGGTGGATGTCGGGGCTAGAAAGATGGCAGAGCAGTCATGGAACATGTGTTGCTCTTGTAGAGGACCAGAGTTCAGTTCCCAGCACCCACAGGGAAGTTTACAATTATCCATAACTCTATTCCAAAGGATCCAATACCCTCTTCTGACCTCTGCGGACACCAGGCACATACATAATGTACATACATACGTACATGCCAGCAAAATACTCACACACGTAAGTAACCCTTAAAAAAAAGTGGTTGTTGGAACATGGAGAAAACTGGTATTTGTTGATTATCTAATATGTGTTTTATGTACAGTATTTTAATCCACACAATAATATTTCAGAGGACAAGGTCCTTAAGTGGAGACTGCTAGAAATTACTAGAATAATTCATATTAGAATAATTTAAGGAGTTACTTATACCATAGTTTTAAGTGCTTTGCATAAAGTAATCCAGCCCTAGTGTCAACCATGTGACTCTGGGGTCAGTTCCCAACACCACTTAAACCACACGTGGTGTGGCATGTCTGTGAACCGGCACTGTGGAGGTGGAGGCAGCTCCTTAGCTACATGGTGAATTTGAGTCCAGCCTGGAATATCTGAGACTGTGGAAGAATGATCATGCAATTAGTGTGCATAAGAACAACGGTAAGCGATCCAGTCCCACAGCCAATGTTCTTAGCCTTTGGCTTTGGGACAGCATCTTGCTCTGCAGCACAGACTGAGCTTCCTGCTACTTCTTCCTCAGTGCTGGGGTTACGTTATCACACCAGGCCCTATCCAACGTTAACGATCATATCACATCAGGTTTGAATCTAGACCTTTCCAAACACAAAACTCATATCCTTTACACTACCTGGTTCTTGTAACCCGGGAAGAGTAACTTTATCACCCGTAAATGAATCCAACTCTTTCACGGACAGCTTACCTCTGAGATAGTGCTAAGGGGAGCTCTGGAGAACGCCACGGTTGTTAAATCTTTCATCCCCTACCTATCCCAGAATCAACCATCTAGGGGAGAGAAGGCCAGCTCTCTGGAAGAGGACTAGTTCACAATTCAAAAACCAGCCTTCATTCTGATGGCAACTGGCAGCCCGCAAAGGCTAGTAGTATGGTGTTTAGGTGTTTGGGTATTTGGGATGGTACCAACAACCCTTCTTTTGTTGGCTTCCTGGGTTCCTGAGTCGGACTGTTCCAATTCGGGAGAGGCTGTGCCACGTTTTCAGATGTTCCTGCGGACAGCTCTGTGCTCCCCAGCGGAAGTGTATGCTTTACTGACCTCACACCCGCCCTCGTCCCTTGACTGAATGGTCCCCGAACACCCACACTCGGTCCCCAGCCGTTGTCTCCCTGGGGTCTGGAAGCCCCGAAGTCGTCCCCTACACCAAAGATCCGGAAATCCACCCAGAGGCGGCTCCTAGGCGGCAGTTCGGTTCCCATAGCAACTCCACGGCGCACCCGCGTCGCGCTTCCGGCCGGGTGGCTCGGGCGCTCCCGTGACGTCACGGCGCCGCTTTCCGGTGGCTGAGTCGAGCTGAGGTTGTTGTGGGCCGGGGGCGCCATGGGGGCCACTGGCGACACCGAGCAGCCGCGGGGCCCCGGCGGGGCGGAGCGAGGCGGCCTGGAGCTGGGCGACGCGGGTGCGGCGGGCCAGCCCGTTCTCATGGTGAGGGCGCCCGGGCGAGGCCGGGGCTCGGGCCCGGCAGGGCCTCGGGCTCCCGGGCCCCGGGCCCGCGGGCGAAAGAACGCGGCGGCTGTGCGGCCCTGGGGGTGCCGTTTTCTCCGTGCGACGACCTGGATTCAGATTCTAGCTAGGTGACGTGGGTCTGATGTGACACCCTCTGAGCTCCAGGTTTCTCTTCTGTGAAATGAACAGCATTAACCTGAGCTTGATGGAGTTGTGGTGGGATGGGCTGACAGAGGCGGGTAGAACGCCCTGACTCGTCACCCGCCTCATAGTAGACCCTCGGTAAACGCTGCTGCTCTTCCAGGAAAAGGGAGCTTTGGACATTGGTGACAGAAAACATTTCCCCAGTTCCTCCACCCTGACAGGGTCTTCCAGCCACTGAATTCCCTTTCACCCCAAGGTGGGAGAAGTGAGAAGCAGGAATGTCTAGGTTTAGCTCACTCTCTCCTCCTCCTCATTATGAGAGGCCTCGATGACATTTGCCCACTTGGTCCCCACAGAACCCTTGGAACATAATGATAAAACATCGGCAGGTGCAGCGAAGGGGCCGCCGATCTCAGATGACCACAAGGTAAGACTAGACCTGGGTGAGACCCATATCCGGTTATGTGGACTTGAGTGAGTGCTTTGGGAGCCCCACTGGAGGAGTCCGAGATCAACAACCCATAAAGAGCACTGACTCTGGTGCTGTAACTTCCTGTAACCTTGTCAGTTCTACATCCTAACTCCTGTACAAAGCAGGAAAGGAATAAAAGTCTAGTACCATCTCTGAGATTGAAATCTCTAAGTCAGAAAATGAGAATTCAAGACTCAGACATCTGTTCTAATGCAAACTCTGATGTTTGTTAACTGGATAAGTTTGGACAAGCCTTTAGCTTTTCTTAGACTCTGTTTTCTCAGCTTTGATGTGGGACTGCTAGTTGAGTGTCCAGCCTAGAGAAGGGAAAGAACTCTGGATAGGGCTTTGGAATTCTACTTGTATTTTTGATCTGAGGTAGTGATACTCATTTATTAATTACAGTACTTGGCAGAGGCAGGCGGACCTCTGAGTTTGAGGCCAGCCTGATCTATGTAGTGAGTCCCAGGACAGCCAGACTACATAGTGAGACTCTGTCTCAAAAAAAGGAAAAGAAAAAATATATGTGTATATATTATATTTCATAAAGCACTCTGAAAATAATTTCCATTTCACAGAGAGTTACGATGAAGTAAAACTTTAAAATCCCATGTCACTAACTGGCAGAGTAATGTGGGAACATATGTTTGGAACACTCCCCTGACTCTTGTCTTCCCCACAAATGCAGTTTCACAGATCCAGCTATCTCTATGGATCTCCTCCGTGCTGTCCTGCAGCCTAGCATCAATGAGGAGATCCAGAGTGTCTTCAACAAGTACATGAAGGTGAGGACGTGGTGATGAACAATAGCACTGTTAAATAAGACTGTACAGCCAGGTGCTGCAGCGTTCCCAACCACTCAAGAGGCTGAGGCAGCTGACAGCCAGCCTGAACATCACAGTAAGACCCCTTAGACAAGAAAAACAGAATGGAGGCTGGAAAGCATAGCCTCAGTGGTTAGGAGTGCTTGCTGCTCCTGCACAGGGCTCAGTTGTAATTCCTAGCACCTACATCAGGCCACTCCAGCCACCTGTAACTCCAGGTCCAGCATCCAGTGCCCTCTTCTGGCCTCTACAGGTTATACTCAAGAGTATAAATTCCACAGGTACATACACATAAATATTTAAAAATCCCAGCACTCAGGAGAAAGAAGCAAGCAGATCTTTGGAGTTTGAGGCCAGCCTGGTCTACATAGTAAGGTCCTATCAGAAAACAAAGAGGTGGTGGGGACAGAGAAGACGTCAGGCAGGGTGGCTTTTCCTCCTGTCAGCAGTCTCTCTTCATAGTCATGCTATACAGATATAACAGGTTTCAATTCTGAAAATACATCCCAATAACTTTTCTACTGCTTGGGGATGATTTAGATACTTCTTTTTTTTCTTTTCTTTTCTTTTTTTTTTTTTTTTTTTTAATTTTATTTTTTTTTTTTAATTTTTCATTGTTTGCCAAATGGTTTCATTTTAATATATTCAACACCATTGCTTAGACCATGAAAAGTTAGACTTTT